AGGGGGGCTTTTTATAATTCACACTGAGACACACAGTGGTCTTGGCCATGTTCTCATCTTGGAGCAAAGGTGAGTTGAGTTTATCCCACATAAACCAAATGATCTGAGGGTGGGGAAAGGGTAAGGTGCCATTGCCAGAAGTCAGAAAAGGGATGCTGGGCAGGCAAAACTACAACTTCAAAACCATGCCAGAACTAGGCAGTCCATTCCTGGAAGCAATACTGTACATTACTTCCAGCCAGAAATTTGATTAGAGTGGTTTAGAGTGGGGAGGGAGATTTTAGAGTCAAATTATTCCCTCTTCTTATCCCTTCCACCATTAATTTCATTTACGTAATGCAGCTCTTAGTTCAAATGAAATGAGTCAGCATCAGGGCAAACTGAAATATGACTTCCATACCAAAGAAAGATACTTACTTTTCTTTCTGTCAGCCTCAGTGGGTAAGTGATCTCCTAAGTAATAGAAATTTTTAAAAACGAGAGGCCAATGTCCAGGTAGGTCATAAATATCTGTTGTATGTGGGATCTTTTTATTTTTAATTATAAAATACATATAACATGTAATTTACTATCTTAACAATTTTAATTGTACAGTTCAGTAGTGTAAAGTACATTCATATTGTTGTGCAACCAATCTCTAGAACTCTTCATCTTTTACAAAATTGAAATTCTACACCCATTAAACAACAATTCACCCTTTCCCCACTACCCTTATCCACTAGCAACCATCATTCTACTTTATGAGTTTGACTACTCTAAGCACTTCATTGAGTATCCAGAATCATACACTATTTCTCTTCTTTTGACAAGCATCGTTACTCCCTCCCTGGCCCCAGCACAGGCCAGGCTTATTACTAAAGGGATTTGGAGTGGGAGGCCCTGGGTCTGCTCTTTCACTCTGCCTGGATTCCAACAACCTGGAATGGAGGTGGCAGACATGGTCTGGTTGTGAAGTCATCCTCCTCTTTTCAAGGCTTAATTCCTGTTCCATTGAGGGGTGGACGGGGGTGTAAGGGAGGCAGAGTCCTCCTTATGTAATTGGCCTTCAACCTAGTGGTGGAACATCATCTCTCTTCCTGCTTTGGCATGCTGCATGATTGTGTTGAGGCCATTCTTAGCATCAGCTGATCCTCTTTGGATCCCTTGAAAAGGAGTGGTTCCTTTTGGCTCTTCCAGCTCTGTCTCAAAACCCTCTTCAGGAGGGGTGACTTCATAGGCAGCTCCCGGCTTCTGCCTCCTCCTGTAACCTCTGAGCTCCTTTTTATGGGACTAATGGTGATGATCTCTTCCCGGCCTCAAAGGCTGGGGAAAACTGCAGTGAGGTATCTCTATCCTTTGCTCAGCACATCACATTGCTGCTCCTTCTCATCTACTGGCTTAGATTGCTCCAGAAACCTCCAAGTGTGATGTAGTCAGTGGTCTCTACATTCACATACACCCCCAAACTTGAAGGAAACAGGAGAGATGATGCCTATCAGGATCTTCCAGTGACTCTCTTTCCCTCCTACAGTGGCAGCACCAGGAAAACTCTGCAGCTTCCCAACTGGCAAGTGAGGAAGCAGTCCTCCCTTCTTGCCTGCTCTTGAAGGCTCTCCCAACCTGTCATTACTTGTTCTTGGGGCAGAGTGGGTGCTGGAGGTGGTAGAAGACATATGGGAAGGGAAGGAAGTAATCCTGTTGCTTTGACATATACACTGAGTGGCCAGATTATTATGGCCACCTGACGTTGGTAGGCAAATTAGCCGTACACTGCACCGTATGGGATATGAAGCCGAAGGCCTGTTCGAACACCTTTGCTGTCTGCAGTTACCAAGATAAAACGTCTCCAATTTGCACAGGAACACAAGGACTGGACAGTCGAGCATTGGAAAAAAGTCATGTGGTCCAATGAATCATGTTTCCAGTTGCATCATGCAGATGGCAGAGTGAGAATTTGGCGGAAACAGCATGAAAGCATGCACCCCACATGCATGAATACAACCCTTCAAGCTGGTGGGGGCAGTGTTATGATGTGGGGCATGTTTTCCTGGCACGATTTGGGCCCTTTAATTCGTGTGGAACAACGTCTGAATAGCACAACATACCTAAGTATCGTTGCTGATCAAGTTCATCCTATCATATTGATGGCGTATCCCAATGGAGATGGCTTCTTCCA